TGGGTCACTCATTCAGCCTCTGTGTTTATTTTCCCGATGAAATAAAAGCACAGGAACATTTACAGTAAGTCGCACCCCGGGTCCATCAAGCATGCAGAAATGAGGAGAAACCCAGGAGAAAGAGGGAGAACATGGGGTAAGGTTTCCTTTCACACACCCAGCTTCTGGCCAAAGTTTCTAGAGCCAGGGCTTATACCCATTGCTTCATGCTTAGCAGTCAACCATAGACTGTTGGGAGTTTGTCCCATCTCTTTTTGAACCAGTGTATTCATTTGGTGTCCATAGTATCCTGAGGCAGTGAGTACCACAACTTTAGGAGTGTGTTGTGTGAAAAAATATTTCCTTCGATTTGTTATTTATTTGTTGCTGCTGGGTAATGGCATACAGTACCCTCAGTTGTGTGTTGCGGAGTGTGTTGTGTGAAAAAATATTTCCTTTGATTTGTTATTTATTTGTTGCTGCTGGGTGATAGCATACAGTACCCTCAGTTGTGTGTTGTAAGAAGCGGAGAGAGGTGTTCCCTTTTCACTTTCTCCAGGGTACTCCTGATTTTATACACCTCCGTCAATTCCCCATCTTCAGCTTTCTCTTTTCTGTGCAGAAGAGCCATAGCTTTAAAACATTGAACTGATTAGAGAACCATATTAACAGCATATTGGCTTATCATAAATTTTAAAATAATGACTTCCACTAGGACTTCTTCTTGCAAGAAACACGCCGTTCAGACTAGACACAATGCATTCTTTTAGGCAGTCAATGATTTAGGATTTTGGAGTTAACAAAACCCTACAGAAATCCACAGGGAAAGATGTTCCATTTTATTTAAAACTTCTTTCCCCAAAGTCGTAGTCCCTTAGTCTCTGATTTCTGCGTGACGTCGTTCCCAGACTTCACTGCCTGTTGGTGTTTGTGTAGCAGCAGTCGATACTCGTGCTCAGTGTTCCTTTCGATGGAGTTACTTAATTTGCTTGCTGGGAACCAAGTAACTTTCAGACTTGCAATTAAGTGCAAAATTTCAGCAAGCTGTGGTATTTCTGATATTTCCTTTCCCCAAATCTCTTTTGTGCTATCAGCTTGTCTTTTATTGAGCATTTATATATAAATAAGTGGTGTAAATGTTATTGCCAAGGAAGTGATTCTGTGCCCACTGAGAAAGAGGCAGAATAAGCCTGGATGCCATCCTAAAAGAGCTATCATCTAAGAAAAAAGCGTATTTATTTTAGATTTTGGGGAGAAGCAGCCTAAGTTTTTCTCCTACCTGAAGCAAACAGGTTACATGTAGCTGTATCATTTTAGTAAACAATGCTGGACATGCATTAGAATTTAAATGATATTAAAGACCTGAAAGGGAAAATAATCTTTGTGGAAGTCACTTGTAATGCAGCCACTTGTAAATGCATCATCCTTAAGGGTCCAAAGCTGACACCACTGCAGCTAGCCACAGCAGGATTTGTGTCGGGGCGCTGTTGATTTTAACAAGTGCAGACCTGCTTGACTATCTTTTCAACTTTTTCTCTGTAAATAGTAACAGTTTGTTTGTTTGTTTGTTGAGGTATTTTCTGGCTTAGGCAACAACTAAGTGTTTGTCGAAGATGTAGTGAGATGTAGTGTTTCATCAGTAAAAAATGTAGGACCTGATAAATTATTATTCTGCACAGTAAATACCTTGCAGACAAAGAGCTTTATATGGCCAGGAGCCATGGGAGGTGGGGTGGGAGAGCAGGGCGGTATGCAGAGTCTTGAAATACCCTGCGTGATCCCGATTCCATAGGAAAGGCTCAGAGGGAGTCTCTGTGGAAACCCCATCCATGGCTGTGGAAACCCGATGCGTGCTGTTTCCAGAAGGGTGTTGTCTCCCCAACCTTCGTATGGAAGCTGACACAGTTCTTAGCTCTGACATTGCAAAGATGAGAGAAAAATGCAATGCGAGGCTGTGTTCATATACAAAACAGAAAATACTCCCTATCATCTTAGCACGGGAACATTTATAACTTTGGGGAAAAGCCCGTGCAGGACATCTGGCCTGTGTGCAGAAGGCGACACATGACCTTGTCACCCAAGCTGGGGGCAGGGAGGGGAAGCCCATCCCGGTGCTGCTAGCAACGGGCCACCGGCAGCATTGATAACCTTAGAAACTGCCCTCTGAAACACCGCACCGCCAGACTGGGACGTTGTTAGGGTCACTGGCAGATTTACGGTGGCTTTGTGTGCACGTCTGTGTGCACAAGAGACGTTGGCCCAGTGAACCTGACTGCCTGGAGAGCCCTGAGTGTGGAGAATGGCTGTGAGCAAGGGACAGGGAGATGCCATGGCAAGACTGCTCCCAGGGGACCCTCTCCAGGCCTCGCACCGGCAGGTTAACCCACTCTTGTGTGTGCAAGAGCTTGTTTGCGCAGCTGTGTCCTCCTGCAGCATCCCCAGCTCAGCTAGACCTCGTGCTTCCAAGCCCAAGCTCTCTCCCTCCAGAAACCCCAGCTCCACACACACGTGAGGGTGGCCAGGACACAGAGCCTCGACAGGCTGTCCCCCGGGCACCGCCTGCTCCTGTGAAAGTCGCTCCTGAAGGCCGATTCGTACAAACAACCTGTAACTGCCAGAGGTTTTGCAGAGATCTCCTATTATTGTTGATTTGCTTTCTTCTTGCTTTACAGTCAGTTGGCAATTATTTTGTCCTCACCTGCCTCTGAAAGTGGAATCTAAGCACTGCAGAGATTGTCTCGTCTGCCTCCTTCCCGCTGGCAGGCTCGGCCGTGCCTGGCAGTTTGTGCGTGCTGGCAGGCAGATCCGCTGAGAGCAAGAGGGGAATCTGGTGCCTGTTACCCAGTATAGTTGCTGGAGGCCCAGCTTGCTCTCAGATATCTCCATTATCACTGATCTCTGAGAACATAATACGCCAGCACACCGAGTGCATGGAAAGGGAAGGATCCACTTTGCACACTCTATCAGGAGCTGCTTGACTGGTGAGGGAAGGGGCCCTATCGGAGCCACAGCAGCTGTCAGAATTTTGTGGTGGAGTCTGAACTGGTGGACTGGACTTTGTCTAATGTGCACGTGGCAAGTAGGTACTTTGCTCGATGTGGATACGCTTAACAGGATACGTGGCATGGTATGCACACAATTCCTGAGAGAATCGCTACCATTGCTGGGATTTTCAGCAGTCTTGCAGGCCGTTCTCTGTATCTGATCATCTTTTGCAAAGTGGTTAAGGAAATGACGAGAATGGAGATGCTACTAGATAAATAGCAAGCTTGAGAGGTGTTACAAGCCTCCTCCCTTGTGGTTTAATACTTTCACTAGCAGCCCTGCCATGGGAACTGAGGGTGTGCAGAGAAAGTCTGTCCGTTACGTGAGGTCAGGAGACATGGCCAGGGCAGAGAAGGTTACACTGACAGTTAGCCCCTGCCGACGCTGTCGGGTACCTTGTGCTAGACAGGGAAGGCGCTTGGCGTGCAAGTATTCACCGTGCAGGGCTGAGGAAGTGGTCAGAAGATCTTGGTTGTAACCTAGGTTTGATCCAGATGGGTACAAAGATCTTTGATGCTGGCAGATGGTTTACATGGTGTGGGCAGGATTGAAGGAGCAAGACACGTATGTGGTAAGAGATGCTGTTTAGAAAGATCAGCTCCTTGCTGCCAGTTTGCAGGACTGGAATAGCCACCTTCTGCACACGAACGGGGATCCTGTGTGTTAGCATATGGGCTTAGTATAGTTTGGGTTCAGTATAATGTCCCCCAGAGGCAGTGAGCTCTCTGGAAGGTCTCTCTTTACAAGGAGCTTTTACAGTGACATGCTTGAACAAAATTACGTTTTGCAAAGGGTCCCACAGTGCGCCCTTTGGAGCACTGAAATGGCCCCTGCCATGTCCCTCCTACTCGTGACAGGCTGGCAATGAGGTATGGTAGGGATCTTCTAACGGACCGCCC